ACAGTGGCACCCTGCCCACCTCTTTCCATTTTTAGAAACACTCCTTTTATACACTTACTTCTATATATGACATGAATGATCCAATCGGAAGCTCAGAATGTTCCCCTAGTGGTCTTCTCAGCCATTTTAATGTGTTTGGACACCATCTCTTTCTTTCGAAACCAAGATTTCAATGAAGGAGGTTGTGTCTTTAGTTTGCTCAAAATTTCATATTCTTTTAGACTGAAATACAGCTTAGTTACTAAGCTTGATAAATTATAATGGATTCTATGACATTGGTATAGTAATTTATGATTTTTTGGTTATTCAAATGTATATATAAAACCTAAAAAAATTATTTGTTTCATATCCTCGATGTGCTAAATTTAAAAAGGCTGTTCTATGTTTTAAGAAAAATAAGATTAAGATCTTATTTCTTAATAGTAATAATTTATAATAATTGAAATGTGCTGTATTTTACAAAATACTAGTCTACTAAAATAGATGGCCATGGCCAGACAGTTAAGGAGTTATATAAATCTCTTGCATTAGCTGAGTCTTGTGACACATTACAGGAATTATACAGAACATACACTGTTATCAGCAAGGACATGTAATATATGTTTCAATGTGATGTGAATATTACAGATATTAGTTTTCTGATTTGTAACTGATGCATGGATTTATTCTTAGTCAATCAGTTTTACAGGACTGTCTTCATTAATATAACGTTACTTTCAAATTGTTTCCAATGAGATATATATAAATCTGTTTTTATCAGAATTTCTTAATAACAGCTGTGCATCTAAAAACAGTAAAGTTAATAATTTGAGTATTTAATTAAACATGAGAAGAAATTACGTATAATTAAACTAATAATTCTTCTGACTTGAAAAACGAAGTTTATATTGTACAGTAAAATTTATAATACATCTCTATTTATAGAAGGTTTTGCTTCACTGTAAATCCTCAGATTTACTTTATGTGATGGGTGCACATATATTCTTGTAATCAAAATAACTTTAGAAATGGGTAAATATTCATCAATACAAAATCACTGACTATCAACTGAAAAATATGCACTATTGAATGCAGAAGATGATCAAACTATATACTGCAATATGAAACATATAAAATAGTAATAATGTTTTGCAGGTTTTCACTATCATGACTTCTATATCCTGTAAAAGGAACTTATATAAAGTACAAAAACATCAGCTAGACAAATAACTGAGAAATTAATTTTCAATCAACTTATAACTGTATTAGAAGCCATATTTTGACTGACAGCAATACTTACAACTAGCCCAAAGATAATTGTAGCAAAAGCTCCACCTATAAAACCTTCCCATGTCTTCTTGGGGGACAATTTGATGAGAGGAGTCTTTCCAAAGAAGAATCCAAACACATAAGCAAAGAGGTCATTACAGATGATCATAGAAACTGGTACAATAAACCTTTTAAACAAAAATCTTTGAATAAATAAAATCTTATTTGAAAGAAAAAATAACATATCTAAGACAACATGTAAATAAGCAGGGTGTTATATCTTAATATTGTAATTAAAAATTAATATTTTTATCAAAGTAAAATCTACACCTTCCATAAAACTGTTCATATATTCTTTAAAAAAAAAACATTATTTCAACATTGAGAGAAAAATCATTATGTATATATATAAATATTTTCACTCGTTAGTCATATTCATGTGGACTAGTTCAAGATGTTGACTCTTTCTTTTTGTATGATAATAATATGATTTTTGCAATAATTTTAGGCTTCATACCTATATTCGTGTCATTACACATTGATGTTGCTGTATATTTTTATTTTAATGTAAGTAATATTATGTGCATGACCTTGTTCCATACTCTCCATTGGTCTATTGAAGAAATTTAAAAGTGTATAAGTTGTTACATGTTGTGAATCTAGCAATGAAAAAAGTTGCTTCCCTTGAAGAAGTTGTAGAAATGAAATATGGGTGAAATAAATATAACCTTGTTCTGGAGTTTATGGCCATTTCTTAATCATACAAGATATTTAATTTACTTCAGTAAGCACTTTGTAGTATGACTTGACCCTTTCATTACGAATTGCAAGATCTAATGGTCTCAACGATTATCTATTTCTTATAACCAAACATTATTATTTTATTAGTAAAATATAATTCAGATATACCCTTACCTCTATAATAACCTTCAGCTTTATCTCTTGTTCATTGCAAGAATTAGATCTATTTATTCTTCCCCTACTTCCTTCTCCTTCGTTAATTGTTCAAAATTCGGAAGATGTAAAATAGTTTTCTCTGAGAGCATTACATGTATAATCACACCTACTGCCCTCTATTGACAGAATCTCTATGAAAACCATCTTCTGTACATAATTCGACTATTACTTGACACCTATTTTCACTTTATACAATCATATATGGTCAAATTTTCTTTAAACCCAGATGAGGGGAGGAGTGTGGGAACAGCAACAGTAGAAGTAAGTATCTCTTTGAGTTATATTTTATTATTAAAATGTTAATTTCCAATACAGGGTGATTATAAAGAAAGTTTCACAGTATTAGATATAAATTGATCTTGACAAAAAATATTATTATCAAAACATTATTCTATGGCACCTAGTGCAGGTAACAGTGACAGTATTTTGAAAGTCAAGGTCATTGGTCACCAATAAGTTTTCAGTCTTTCTGTGTTTGCATGATTTATAGCAAGCAGTTGACTGCTTTAAAATATCAAATACATTAAAACTGATTAATACATAAAATGAAAATTTCCTATACTCAATACAAAAATCCTCTAAAATGAAAGAAAGAAATAAAAATATAAAATTAAGTTAATCTCAAATGTACAATCTTAATACTAACTAAACTTACTACAGAATATTTAGTATTCTCTAATATATGATGTTGTGATAAAAGGTCAATTATTTTGTTACAAATTGTATGATTATCTGTATTACTTCTACAAATATTTTGAAGTTTATACTAGAAGAAACACTTAGGACTCCCAGTTTTAAGTGAGGACTCTCAGCTTCTAAATAATAGAGTCCTACAATTCTAAAATAGTTTAACAGAATGACACCTGAGCTACTGAAAAAATACTTATTAAAAAAAAATAAAAGATTAAACAATTTGCTTTAAGAGAAATGCTAAATGACTTCTCATTACACGGCAAAGCACTAATGAATGTAAATCATTTACAGTTCATTAGGCATACTTCAACTTTTCCCACCTTGAAGTTTAATAACACATGATAAAGCCTTGCACCCTTTTTCCAGATACTGTGCTTTGGCCAGAGCTAAAAACTTCTCTAGTGTGTAACTAAAACTAAATAATATTTATTGAAGATATTATTTCAATTTATAAATTAGTACCAAGGTTGAGTGGTATCATTTTGTAGGTATCCATGTAGGCATTTCATTTTTATATCATAGCAATATCAATCAAGTAGCTTATATTTCTTTTCGTGAAGCAGTTTGGGCAGTGGATCATGTTCACTTTTCACCTATGTGTGTGTATATCAGTATGATTGTGACTATTTAATTTCCATATTTCCACACAATGATTTCCTTGCCATGTGATTAAATCATACAAAAATGATAAAACCTCCCACACTTGCACAGAATATGTAGTACATAAATTCAGTTATGACAACCTAACACTATTTGACCCGTTCATGATTTAGATATGTAAATATATATATTTCTAATGCCTTATTGGTAAGTGCTGCCAAGACGAAGATTTTGATACTTGTTATAATTCATTCCTCATCACAGTGCACATTTCAACATTTTGGGGTGAATGCAACAGGCTTAAAACTAGTATATTGCAACTTTCCATTTTTATTTCCACATGAGAAGTACTGGCTTCTCTTGTGTTTTCAAGCATATTCAAAACACTGATTATAAATAAAAAGCTGTAGAGGAAATAAAGAATTTGATCTGTATAAAAAGAAGCTGATATTTATGTATATCATTGTACAATGCTTATGACATAAGATATTGAGTCACAATTTCTTTGAATTTGTGTAAGTGAAAGTGATTTCATACTACTCAGAGAAAAGAACGTTTAACCACATTTACCAGAATTTGGATTAAGAACAGTGTTCTTTGATATTTAGGTACAAGTATACAAAAGAGGACAAATATATATGAGATAATACCATATAAATCCATTTCAATAATACTAGAATAATAATGACAGAACAAGCACATAAGAGCTATATTGGTGGTCCCAATGTAGAAGCACAGCAATGTATCATATATTGTAACACTGTAAAAAACAGCTGCACAAAACAAACTAATCACTCACACAAACAGACTCATGGTCTACATTATTCAAGGCAGTTTTCACCCATATCAGAAACTGCAAACAATCATAATAATAATGGCAAAATTCTACTGACTCAGTACTACAGACAGTGCAGAAGTATTTTTACTATAAAAAGAGACTTAAGATGCTATTGTCAATAAAGCAAAAGACTGTGTCAAGTGAAGAACCACCAACAAAGAGGAAATGTATAAGGGGTGAAAGTGCACCATCAAGAGTTTATGACTCCAAATGCATATTTTGCTTGAAAATCAGCAAATTTTTGAAAGGGAATAGAGCAAGAGAAGACCTTATGTAATGTGTTGATCTAAGAGCAGATGAAAAAATCAGGAATTTGGCAGAGAGAGAGAAATAACTAACAGAAAAATTATTGCTTTCACAAGTCGGAAACAAGTTGCAGTTGCAAAGTATCACAAATTAGGCTGTAAGGCCTAGACAAGATCAGGTAAGTGTTCACCTTTAGTGCCTGATGATACACCTAATGACCCTGATGATGAATGAATTGGTTCATATGCAGCTGCAGAAAATGATGCTTATAACAAACTGCACAGTCATATCAGAAACAATTTGTTCCTAAATCCATGTGTGGTGAAGTTAATGCACTTAACTGAGAAGCTGTTATCATGGAAAAAAGACACATGTTTGTAGAAATACAGAGGTTTAGTTTGGGGATTTGTTGCAACTTACTCAGACAGAAGCAAATACAAATTATTCTGTTCAAAAAAAGGAGAGTAATTTCAATCCCCCCCTAAAGTTGGAATTATAAAAATTCTGAAATAAACACATTGGTATAGCATAGTCAATAAAAAAGAGGACGTGGGAGTGATGGGGTTAGACTTTCAAGGCCTTTTCCAGGACTTCATAATAAAATGATTTTTCCAGGACTTGCAGTATTGAGAAATTTTATAACAAAATTTTTCATCACAGCCTGGTGCTTTGAAGTCTCTAATTAGAACATTGAAGAAAATGTCAATGACATCAATGCTTATCAGTAAGTCTGTGTAGTTCACATATAAATTCTTGATAGGCTACACAATGTAAGAAGAATTCTGCATATGGTACTGGGTACATCCATGCAGAGGTGATAAAATTGGAACTAGAAAAACAGTGTTAAGGTGAGAGTGAGAGTTGATGACACTGACTATTGGGAAACAAAAGATTCTAGTTATGTATTATCTGAAAAGTACCCTATAGTGCCCTCTAGCCTCAGACCTAAAGATCCTATGAAATATATTCAAGTTTTCAACAGGTCATTGTATTCCACATTCATTGCCTTCTCATCCTGCATAACAAGCTTAAACCCTCTATCAAGAACATAATTATTTAAACACACTACTTTTCCTTGCAATAAAATCTATTGTAACTAGTAATCTAAAAACATTCCTGTCCCCACATAATCGTAAATTAAAAACCTATCTCGTAAGCTGTTGAAAAAACTCGTATCTACTACTTTAAAAAAACAACAACCTTTCTATATGGGCAGAATAACAGAGAAACATAAAATCAATAATCACAGTGAACAAATGCCTACTAAAAGTAAGCACATAATAAATAGTATTTAGTCATTCAATTGTTTTTATAAGAAACAATAATCAATAATGTCAAGGAATTCTTAATGCTTTTTTTTACAAATAACTAATGCAGCTTCATGTAATTTAAAAGCAGCATTAATCATACATTCCTTCCTAGGCAAAGCTGACACACCACAGAATTCAGTCTTTTCTTAAAATAACAATAATAAAAATCAAACCCATACAGGTAATGTCTGTGTAACAAAAGAAATGTTATATTTTTATCATAAAACTTAGCAACATTAAATTCTCAACAAAATTAAGCCTACCATATCATTCCTTCAAACAAGTTCTGCATTATTAAGTAAGACTGAGTGACAACAATCAACAGAGTGACGTGGGTCCAGGCAAACTATAACAAAAGAATCAAAATGAGCTTATCATTTCATGGGAAAATCCTCAATAATTACATAATTTCATTTTTACAGTAGTAACTTTCAATATAATGATAGTGTAGTGTGATAATGGAAATAACATTTTTCCAACACTGAAAATACATACCGATACTTACCTCTACTGACATAATAGTTTTCCCAATTCAATGTTGCCTTCAATATGCACATTTTTGCTCACCACTAGCCTTGAAACTCCCACCTACAATCATGTGTTTCCACATGATATTACTGTGCTGTTGCATGCAAATGAGAAGTGTGACACACCCTCCTAGCACAACTACCTCCCTCTATACTGATTGTTTAATCATAATTTCAAGATTAAGCAAGAAAAGATGCACGGGTAGTGGGGAGGATGGATGGGAAGTGTGAATGGAGGTAAGTACCTATCGAAAATACATTGGAAAATGGTAGCTTCCAATATGATAGCTAGAATCCCACAATGAAGCAGTAGAGGGACCAGTGCAAAAGTTATCTAGATGAAACCTCTTCAGAAAGCACCCAAAGGGAAGCCATGAAGTGTGACACCCTATACCATGGAAACGTATGGGGGAACACCAGTCAGACTGCACCTCTTATGGACCAGGGTACACTCTTTTGCCCATATTGAAGATATCTGTTACTACTTGTGGTGGAAAACAAAAACTGTCTAGAATCTGATTACACAACATAGATGTGTTAAATGGTGTAGTATGGCTAGCGCATATCAGACCATATGTGGTGGCTCAACTCCATTCCAAAACCAGACAGTATCAGGGTCCTTACTATCAACCTCAACCCCTGGAAACAGAAAAGTAACTGACATTCTGCCAACTGAGAGAATGTTCATGTGTGCTGTTCCTGCTCCAAATTACTTGGTGATTGTCATATATTTGAACTAATCACAGCAGTAAAAAGTCACATTAAATACATGTACATACTAATCAAGAAGAAAGGATAGCAGATGTGCCTAAAAGAGTCAGTCTTTCTAAAGTTTTGAAACAGTTATTATAAATCTATTATCCCATAAATAGCTATTTCAAAACTTCATATTGTTGGTAGGTTATGTGGGTACCTCAAAAAAGCAAGTCATTCTTTGATTTAATATAAAATTTATATTAAATTTATTACCGGAATTTATAAAAGTAAAAGAATTTAGTTTATAATATATAAAAAAAGGAAAACACTATTTAAATCCTCAAATCTTTTAAAATATCCATTAGAAATATGAGAGAAAGAATAAAAATGTTTGAATTAGGTATACAAAATGGCTCAGAACAACAGAGAATGAAAAAAAAACTGATTTTTGTAGCTGATACTAAACCCTGTGTATGAATTGACAGAGACTATAAAACTTATGCATATAATGCTCTCATACATTACATTAAACTAAAATATTTAATAGCTGTAGTACTAAATGTAAAAGTAATAATTAATACTGCTAAAATACAAAACAGGAAAGTCTGAATGAAAAGCACAAAACTCTTATGATACTAATATGTTAACTTTAGTTGCTGAAGCTAGTATATATCCAAATTAAATTTCACTCTTTGTGTACAAAGCTTAAACATTTCATTTAATCTCAACCCAGTTGGTTACTATCATATGTTGGACAGCTAATTCAGGATTATCTAAGTATACAGAATTAGCTAAAAATGTAAAGAGAAAATACCTTAATGAAAATATTATGTTTCATGCTTAAAAATCCATGTTTCTCTGTTTGCAATATTTAAATGCAAAATAATAATTGATACCTTATTTTTTTACATGAATCAAATTATATTTTATGAATTAAATACATGTTTAGAATATCAAAACATTTAATGTTTAGAATATTTAGCAATGCAATTATTTTCTAAATCTTTTATTTGAAAAATGGAAACTTGTTGGACATTTACAACTAGAGTGAAATGCCTATATGTAGCTTATACCTAGCAGCACAGCTGATTTCAAATGTAAAATGTTTGTTTTAGAAACTTCATTCATGTTTTGATATATGTTAATAATAGTGAAATGCAAAGTTAGTGCTATTATAAAGATAAAGTAAATTTTAACTGCTTTTTGTGCTTTACTGCTTACATTTCAAAAGAGAGAGTGCTTTAATGTTTAATATAAAAAAAAAACTTCTCATATTTCAAAAAAGAACACACATACCAGAGAAAATTGCTTCATATAATATTTCTTTACTAAGCTCAGCACAAACCAGATGAATCCTATTATGTACAAACTGAAGGAGATAAATCTATGGTAAGTCACTAGAGGCCTCATGAAATCCTGAAACAAGCAAAAAAAATAATCTTACATGTAAAACTTTTGAAAGACAAAAACATAACATTATTAGATTAGTGAAGTAAATAAATAATTCAACCTGTAAAAAGCCAAAATGAAAGATATAAAGAATTAACTGAACCTAACTGCACACAGTGCTCAAAGTTCAGTACTTAAGACAGAAGAACTAAACAGATAAATTCAGTCTTCATATAATAACTGGCTTATTACACGAGACACAAAACCAAGACAAAATGGAATAACCTTTATGATGCATGTTTTACTCTTTGTTTAAAGAATATCTTACATATATAAAACAACAGTTCTAAAACTATAAGT